AAGGGGCTACCTCATCATTGGCTGTCTGGCATATCTTGCCAAGGATCAGCCCTGTCTGGTTTTCTCATTTCTTCCGGGCATGAGAACCACTTGTTCTCTTCCAGCAATTCTCTGGAAACTGGCCTCTCTCTGCAGTTTCCCCAGAGACTGTGGATACTACACAGGCGTAAGGACTTTGTTCAACTCAATAGAAGAAACACAAGCCTTCTCCTCCTGTTGAATTAAGTACCATCCTGGGGATAGATATACCATGCATAAGAGTACATACACTGTACATGTAAAACACATATCACATTACACACTCATATCCCCGCCCCACGAATGCCCTATAGTCCTTCCCTCCAATGCAAGAGATTAAATCCAGAACCTTATGTGTGCAAAGAATGCTTTCTACTACATCCTCACTCACACCCTTACCCCCAGAACATTTTGGGAAGGATTCATGCCTTAAGCCTGGTGCCACACAAGATAACACATACCTGTAATGCCAGAAGTTAGGTGCCTGAGATAGGAAGATCACAAGTTCAAGGCTACTCTGGACTACATGGGCCCTAGTTTTTCCCTTTTCTTGGTTCCTCCCTCTAGGCTCTGTCTCTGCATCATCATTTAGGCAATATAGAAAGACTCTATATTTAAAAAAATTTCAGGTGTGGGGGCAAATTAGCCCCAGCACTCACTTAAGAGGCAGAAGCAGACATGTAGAGTTCAAGGCCATCCTCAGTTGCACATTTAGTTCAAGACTAGCATAGGCTATATATAACCTCAGTTTGGGAGGTTGAGGAGGGGATTGCCATGACTCTGAGGTCAGCCTGGGCTATATACCAAAAGCTCAGAAAGAGAGAGAGAGAGAGAGAGAGAGAGAGAGAGAGAGAGAGACTGGAGGGGATGGGGATCATTTGCCTAGGCTAGCCTCCAAGTATCTGAACTAGAGGAGCGACTTCCAATCCTACAGTATTTTATAAATTCATTGACTACAGAGATGTTTGAAATAGTTGATTATTTGTGTTTTTTAAGTTACTATCTATTTTTCTTAGTGGTGTGAACTGCTCCCTTTCTCTGTCCTGGCCACTCTGTGGGATCACAGTGACATTCAGATGACTACTCTGTAGGTTCAGGATCAAGTTGATTCATACACATTTGCCCCTTCTGGGAAGCCCAAACTGGGGCTCTGTGCCTGGGGTCCTGATAAAAGGTGGCCTTGTGTGTGAGGCAAGACACATCACTTTCTATCCCCCCTGACTTAGCTTCTAGGCTCTGGGGTGCAGACATGCAACCTAGGAAGTTACTCATCCTAACTTGAGACCTGGCTCTTTTCACTGGGAAGACTGAGACAAGGACTCAGCTCTACAGCAGTCAGGCTAGAGGATTCCAGGTTCTCTACACTGGTATAACGTCTTGCATAGTGAAGAGGGTTAAGATTAGGATCAATTGATCCTTGGTCTCTGAAGAGAGACTGAAAGGGTTGAAAGGAGGGGTCTAGACCCACAAAGACCCCAGTGGAAGCAAACAAATGATGGAGAATAGCTTCTCTTTAACTAGAAAGAGTTTGGGAAAGAGAGTGCTCCATTTTCCAGCAGCATTCCCTGTGACTGACTGACTTCTATTACAAAAGAGACTGACACTCCAAATGGGGGCCTAGTTCCTAGGACAAGTCCTGTACTCTTGCTGTGAAGTCATGGGCTGTTAGAACAAGCCCCTCACTCCACCCTGGCTACCCAACTATCTTTACCTCCAGGAAGCAGGCCCTGCTCTAAAGAGGGTAAAGAGGGTGAGCAGAGCTGATGCTGGTCATGTTGGGACCCAACCCAGATCAAACTCAGTGCTACAAATTAAATAAATAAATTGGGGAGATTGAGATAAAGGCCAAGCTCTACAGCAGCCAGGGGTTTCAGGCTCTCCAGGGTGATATATTGGCCGGTGTAGTGCTGAAGGGTAAGATTATGGACAGGGGCATAATCTAAACCAATATGTACACAAGCAGGCAGCCAGGCAGGAGAGGCAAATAACCATGTGACAGGTGGGGACGGGGGGGGGGGGGGGGGGAGGGGAGGGGGGGATGAGCAGGCAATGGTGAAATACAAGACCTTCTTCAGAGGTAAACAACAGAGACAAGAGAAAGCCCCACCTGTGGAAGCAAATGTTTTCTCTTCTCTTATTAATTCATCAATCTGGTCGGTAGAAAGCCTTTTTCAAGAAGGTAAGACACAGAAAGCAGGCTTTATTCTCAAGAGAGAGCATTGCTGATGCTGGCCGTACTCAAGCCTTCAGGACCCAGCACAGACCAAGCACTGTGCACAGACCAAGCACTGTGCTGAGCATACAGAATATACAAATAAATGGATGAATAAGTAAAATAGAAGAAGCTACAGAATTAAATACTCTAGTAAATGTCAGTGCATGGTGGCACACATCTATAATCTTAGCACCTAGGGAGCGAAGGTAGGAAAGTTATGAAGTCAAGGCCAGCCTGAGTTACACAGTGAGATCCTGTCTCAGTAAGTAAATAAATTAATAAATGATCTCATACAAACACATGACCCAAGGCATTGATCCAATTATTCTTTGACTCAAGGAGATTGGCCTCCAAGAGTTGATATCTGCCAGCACCCTGGCTGCTTATGTCATTGGCTTTGCAGAGTCGTCTGAGGTCTTGCTTTAGAATGTCTTTGGTCAAATTCATATATTTCTAAATGTTGAGTTGGTGCAAATAAGTGTCAGTGATTTCAGTCATGACATCAGATTTCAAATACAGCTTTTAGAGAACAAACAAAAGAAAGAATTTAAGGTTAGAACTAAATGAAATTCCCAAGATATAAGACCTTATAAAATGGGGATATTACCTGTGTACCTAAAAGGGACAAGTTGCCCATGCAAACATACTTCTTAGAGCACTTAGTCCCTATGGTTCTGAATTTGGGAAAGGGCAGGAAAGCAAATACGCCCTCAACATGCCGGGCTCTGCTCTGGGAACCTCAGGTGTGCTACATCAAAACATTCCACACCAATTGCTCCAATCATTGTCTTTTCTGAGGGCCCAGAGCCAAAGATGATGGAGCCTAGAGTCTACCTCGACTGTTTTGAGGCTTGTTCTCTCTTAAACAACCATCCTTCCAACGGAGGAAAATAGGTAGAGTTCTATTATTTCCTGTTTCTCTTCATAGTTCCTGGGCAGAACTTAGCTGTGTTTAATGTCACCCATAGGTGCTGCAGTAGAGAGAGAAGCTCACCAAGATGCTAGTCTTTCATTTTCTGAAGGAACAGAGGTGTACAGCCTTCTTGGGAAAGACTGACACCCAGCTAGCTCACTCCAGTTACTTTATTCAAACATGTACAATGTTAATAAGGGCTGGAAAAGGTTCCAGCTACAAAAATCAACTTGCTCTTGCTGCCCATAAGAGCAGACAACCCACACAAATTTCAGTCCCATTTGATTATGGCCATCATCAAACTGTAGGGACTCCAGGTCTGCCAGTAGTGTCTTAGGACCAAGTTCGGTGTAGCTTCAAGCTCTCACATAGCACCAAGTGCAGACTCTCCAGAGAGACAATGTTTCTTCAAGGTTTAAACAGTCTCAGAACAATTTCTCAGCCTCTACTGAGTAGCCCCAGCATAGCAATGGTTTTGCTGAAACATTTTACTCTAAGCCAGACACAAAGGCCTTACTTTCCTATCACTACAATGCAAGCTAAGGGAAAGGAGACCTTGACAAATCATTCAGCCCTGAACCACCCCCCCCCAAGTCTCCCCCTAATCTCCAGGCAATCGGCTCTGTAACCATCTTTTTTTCTTTCCTAAGACTGGCAATCTTGCCACAGGAGTGAGACTCTACCTTCCCTTGGAGCTGAAGACTGGAACCAAACCTATGCATGGTATTGTTCTGATGACTAATTTGGGGCCATCACTGACTCCTTCCTGCCATATTCCTTGGCGGTCCCAGCTCCCTCTCTGAACTGTGTGGTGTGGATGGCCCCAGGCCAGGGCTGTTGAAAGAGCAACACTCCTGTCTGCTAAATTTTCCAACATCTTTCACCTCCATTAAAACTGGGCCATCTGAATTTCTTTCTCATACAAACCAGCGTGTAGGACTGTCTGCATCTCCCAACTAGTATGAATTCCCAGAGACAAGAACAGGGCCTTATTCATCATCATGCCACTCTTCACAGCCCATCTAGCACGGTGTTCACTTAATGAACATTCCCTGGACACCTCCTGTGCCAGTGAGCTATTCGAGGCCCTGCAGATATGGAGATGAACCTTTCTATGCATCAGTTTCTGCATTCCCAGCCTCCCCTGCCCATATGATAGCTAGCTGCAGCAAATACATGAAGAAATATCCAGTAGGGCAATGGAACGGAGAGGGGACAAGTGACTGGCTTAGGAAGAGTATGAGGGAAGCAGGTACTCAGAGGATGTCTGTCAAGATTATAAACAAGCTGGCACATACCTTTGATCCCAACACTGGGTGGAGGCTGGCAGATCTCTGTGAGTTCAGGGACAACCTGGTCTGCATATGAGTTCCAGGACAGCCAGATCTACATATTAAGACCCTGGAGAGATACAGGGTGGAAATAAACAACTATACAGGAAGTGCACAGTCTACAAGTTCAGAAGAACTTCAGTATGGTTCAAGGTCCTAATCTTTACTTCTCACCGAATCTGTTTTCAAACCTATAAAAAAAGGAAATTCTTGTTTTTGTTGGCAGTAAACATGATCATGTTTGCAGAAACAGGTTTGATATCAAGCAGTGTCTGACATACGGCAGGTTGCCAATGATTTTTTTTTTTTTGAATGCATGGATGTTTACATGAGAGCATGGATCCCAGCATGCAGGCTTTCAGCTCCCACCTTCTCATTTGTCCTCAGAACTAATAAAAATAATAATGAAAAGCCATCCCTGAGCCCCTGTCTCCTTGTCTTGCTTACTGAACAACTCTGGGACACAGATAACTCAGCAGTACTCCATCTTCCCTGCTTGCCCTCTCCCAGGTCCTAGACCAAAGCCATGGCCCCCGAGGCAAGCCCGGAGAGGAGCTGCTCTCTGCACACCTGTCCTCTTGAAGACCCGACAGGAGCTTCAGTACCAGCGCCAACGGTTTCTACCCTCCAGAATGTAGACCCGACCAGTCCGTTAACAGCGGGCCATTTTGTCTTTCCTCGAGCGCCTCAAGAATATCAAGAAGGCAGTTCGTTACTAGGATTTGGAGATCAAGCATCTCTATGTGCCCATGTCTCCAACCTCAGCACCTCCATAGACCCCTCACAGCATGATGGGGTCTGGAAGCCACCTTCTGTGCAGCGCCATGTGGTCAGTGTCAGGTGAGGAGGGGCTGGAAAACCCTTCTGGCTGCCATTGAAAGGTACAACAGACTCTGAAGCCTCCAGATTCCAGAGGCGACCTGGATGTGCCCTGCCTCTGATGAAGGAGGAAGCTTGGATAGAGCAGGGAGGAAAAAGCTGAAACTTGGGGGGTGGGCAACTCTAAAAATTGGTATCACTTCCTCTAAGCTCTGTCATCTGTCTTTCACTCAAATCCTCCCCATCCAATGTGTACTCGCTCTTTCCCCCACCTCCATCCAACCAGGCACGGACACACGTGTGCACACAGATACACACACCAGAAGACAGTGGTAAATTTCTCTTCTTCTCTCCCACAGGCAGGAACGCACTTTCCGGATGCCAAAGAGGTAGGCCCAGGCCTCCCCTGAACTCCCAGGAGTGGCCAGGATGGTACCCACTCTACTCTCCCAGCCTTCCCACCACACCCAACATCAACTCATGTGGTCTTCCACCCTCTTTTCCAGCTATTCCCAGCTGATTGCTGAGTGGCCAATGGCTATGCTGCTGCTGTGTCTGGCCTTCATCTTCCTCTGTACCCTAGCTGGGTTGTTGGGAAGCCCTCCACTTGACTTTTCTGAGCCTTTACTGGTGAGAAGCCAGGGGAGGGAGAGAAACCCCTAGTGTGAACATTGCAGCTCAGTCTGAGGCAGACAGTTGACCCATCTTGGGGGTAATGTGGCGTTGATGGGCTCTTGATTGCCAGAGAGCTGTAAGGATGGCACAGAGACCATGTATGTGTCTACAATCCAGGCAGGGGGAACATAGGGGGAGAGCTGGGAAGGTCCCAGAGGGAAGGCACTCCCCCCTTGGCCCCACTCGCTCCTGAACACCTGCTCCTCTCTGCTCTCCCCCCTGCAGGGTTTTGAGCCTCGAGACACAGAGATCTCCAGAAAACTAGAGGTCTGGAAAGCTATGCAGGCCCTCACTGGCCCCAAGAATCTGTTTTCTCTTTCCCCAGACCCTGAGATGAACAGGTAACAGGTTCCCATCTTCCCACTGAGGGTAGCAAAGGGAGAAAAATTTCCAGGAGGGGACGCTGGTTGACCTCTCCAAAGACATGAGGCAGTGAGGGGTTGCTGATGCTCCCTGGGACAGTGCTCTTTCATTTCGTGTGAGTTCACCGTCCCAAACAGTAGCCTGGGAAAACTACTCTCTCTACCTCAGCTCAAGCCTCCTCAGCACACTGAGCCCTGCATCCTGGGGCAGGGCTGAGGAGAGTGTGGTCCGGACCAAGAGGATGGTAGAGCCCGTGGAAGACAAAGAAGAAGAGAACTTCTTCTGTGGTCCTCCCGGTAAGCTACAGCATGGCCAGTCCTGACATCAGTGGGGGCCCCACCGAGTCAGATCAGCAGGTCCAGAGCATATGTGGGCAGACAGAAAGAGAAAATGACCACAAGCCATATTCAAGCCGAGGAAGATGGAGTAATGAATAGGTCTCATGTATTCCAGCCAGGTTCAGTCAAGCTGATATGGGGAAGACAAGACATCAGGCATAGGCTTTAGGCTCCTGGGCATCAAGGTTTCAGGTGGCCCAGGCTGGGCATCTTCTCTTTAGTAGGCCCACGTTCTGGGGCCAAAGGTCTGAGCTGTGTGTGGATTGTGTTGCAGAGAAGAGCCATGCAAAGTTGGTGTTTGTGTCCACCTCTGGGGGAAGCCTGTGGAACCTGCAAGCCATCCATTCCATGTGCCGCATAGAACAGGAGCAGGTGAGCTGGCTGGGGAGATATCTGCCAGGGGCTTGGGTGGGAACTGAGGACACAAAGGTCCCAGTCCCAGGGCAATACAGCTTAGCCAGAACCGCCAGGGTGGACCCGGGACAGCTCGGCCTGCTTAGAAATATTCAGCTCTCCTGGAGGCTCTGGGCTGGGTTAGGAAAAAACAGAACTGGCTGAGTGTAGAAGCACCAGCCCCCTGTCTCAGAGAGAGCTAAAGCAGAGCCTGGAGGGTTTCAAAGGGCTTTGAAAAGAGATCTCAAAAATGTGTGGAGGAAGCCGGGCGTTGGTGGCGCACGCCTTTAATCCCAGCATTCGGGAGGCAGAGACAGGCAGATCTCTGTGAGTTCAAGGCCAGCCTGGTCTCCAGAGCGAGTGCCAGGATAGACTCCAAAGCTACACAGAGAAACCCTGTCTCGAAAAACAATAACAAAAAAATGTGTGGAGGAGATTCTGGCCCTTGGAAGCTGAGACTCCAGGCTTCAAGGATGCAGCTCTCGTCAACCCAAGGAATGCCAATTCGATTGTGCTATTAGAGAACTACATACAATCACATCTATGGTATGTTTGCTGCTAAAAAGAAGTGTGGAAACTATTCTATAGTTCTGTAGCTCAAGTCCTCCTGTGCTATGGCATGATGTCCAGAGCATCAGAGGACACTGGTTAAGAATATGTGTTCTGCACTCAGATGCCCAAGCTCAAGGCCAGCTCTAGGACTGGCTCCTTTGGAATATGCTTCTTAATCTCTTAGTGCCTCATATGTGCTGGTTGTTTTATGTTTGGTTTGTTTTTGTAGTGCTGGGGGATCAAACCTAGATACTTGTATGTACTAGGTATGTGCTTTATGACTGAGCTACATCCTCAGCCCTTCCTTATATGTGAAATAGGAACAGTAATAGTGCATTCTTTATAGGGATAGTGACAGTGAAATGAGATAGGATTTGGAATAATCTTACACAATGCTGGCACTAGTAATGAAGTGATAAACGTTCAGCATTGTCATCACTGTGAGCAAAGTCCCAAGGCTGTGCATGTTAGGTTAGTGGTAGAGCGGGGCATGTGACTCCCGGCTGGGAGCAATTTGTACTAAACCAGCTGTTGTGATGTGAACAGCAAGGCTGAAGAGGAAAGGGGTACAAGCTGGGCAAAGAAGAAGGATTTAAGCACCCCGGGGAAAGCCAGGCGTTCTCAGTGACCCTAGAATGTCTCCTATGGCTTGCTTCCAGCTCCCGATCTCTTGCCCTGTTCCGTGTGTGACTTGTCACCTCCACTCCAATTCCTGACTCAGGAAGTTGCAGAGTTAGGGTGTGTGGCCTATTGGAGCCCTCTGGCAGAGCCTCTGGGAGGGGCCTGGGGAAACTTCCCTGTTCGATGAAGCCAAGCTAGGGCTCCTAGGAGCTAGGCCAGAGGCAAAGGCAGCTCTGAGATAACGCATTTCTGTTGAGCTGTCAGGATGTTTTTTCTGTGCCCTTCAGTGTGACAAGAGGTGAGAGGACAGGGCTGGGGTGACCTGGGCCCCCGAACTTGCCTCTGAGCTCCCTCCTCCCACTCTTGTGTGCCCTACAGATCCGCTCTCACATCAGCTTTGGGGCTCTGTGCCAGCGATCAGCAGCCAATGAGTGCTGCCCCAGCTGGTCCCTGGGCAACTATCTGGCTGTGCTGTCCAACCGCTCCTCCTGCCAGGACACTACCCAGGCTGATGCAGACCGCACACTGGCCCTGCTTCGGTTCTGTGCCACCTACTACCATCGGGGTGTCCTGGTGCCAGCTTGTGTGGGACCTGGGAAGAATAAGCCCCCATATTGTGCTCAAGTCCCCACCAAGTGTACCTGGAGCAGTGCTATCTATCAACTCCTGCACTTTCTGCTAGACAGAGACTTTCTGAGTCCCCAGACGGCAGATTACCAGGTGCCCTCCCTCAAGTTCGGCCTGCTCTTCCTGCCCATTACAAAGACTTCCTCCCTGCTAGATATCTATCTGGATGGCCTTGTTGACCCCATTAAGGTCTCTGATAACTACACATCCATCAGTGGCATGGACTTGGGCCTCAAGCCTAGACTGCTGAAGTACTACCTGGCCGAAGATACCATGTACCCCTTGCTAGCCCTGGTTGTCATCTTCTTTGGCATGTCCTTCTATCTGCGTTCACTCTTCATCACATTCATGTCACTGCTGGGGGTGTTGGGCTCCCTAATGGTGGCCTTCTTTCTTTACCATGTTGTATTCCGCATGGCCTACTTCCCCTTCGTCAATCTAGCATCCCTCCTTCTGCTTACTGGCGTCTGTGTCAATTACACTCTGATCTTCTTCGACCTGTGGCGCCTCAGCAGGGGCCAGGTGCCCTCTGGGGGTCTAGCGCATCGTGTGGGCCGCACCATGCACCACTTTGGCTACCTGCTTCTGGTCTCAGGCCTCACCACCAGCGCGGGCTTCTACGGCAGCTACCTGAGCCGCCTGCCCACAGTGCGTTGCTTTGCTCTTTTCATGGGCACCGCTGTGCTAGTGCACATGGGGCTCACACTAGTCTGGCTTCCTGCCACCATAGTGCTCCATGAGCGCTACCTGGCACGAGGCTGTGTGTCCCAAGCGCAGGGTCAGAGGGGCGGCGCCGACCCCTTGCGGCTCTTGCTGGCGTTGCACAGACGGATCCGCGTTCTTCGCAGGATTTTTTCCATCCTTTCGCGCCTGCTCTTCCAGCGCCTGCTGCCCTGTGGCGTCATTAAGTTTCGGTACATCTGGATCTGCTGGTTCGCGGCTTTGGCGGCAGGGGGCGCCTACATCGGCGGCGTAAGCCCTCGCCTGCGACTGCCCATTCTACTACCCCTTGGCGGCCAGGTCTTCAGGGCTAGCCACCCCTTTGAGCGCTTTGATGCTGAATACCGTCAGCAGTTCCTATTCGAGGACCTGCCTCCAAACGAGGGCGGCAACTTGCCAGTGGTAATGGTGTGGGGAGTCCTGCCAGTGGACACTAGTGATCCCCTGGACCCTCGCACCAACAGCTCAGTAGTAACCGATCCTGACTTTGCGCCCAGCAGCCCCGAGGCCCAGGAGTGGCTCCTGGCTCTCTGCCATGGAGCCCGGAATCAGAGCTTCTTTGGAGACCAGCCAGAGGGTTGGCCTACACTGTGTTTAGTGGAAACCCTCCAGGAGTGGATGGAAAGCCCCAGCTGTGGCCGCCTGGGTTCCGATCTATGCTGTGGCCAGTCAGAATTCCCCTGGGCCCCCCAGCTTTACCTGCACTGCCTCAAGATGATGGCTCTGGAGCAAAGTCCTGATGGCACCCGTGACCTGGGACTCCGCTTCGATGCTCATGGCAACCTGGCAGCTCTAGTTCTAAAGTTCCAGACCAACTTACCATACAGTACAGAGTACGGCCCGGTCCACCACTTCTACACTGAGGTCAGCCGCTGGTTGTCAACAGAGCTGGGCAAGGCACCTCCAGGCCTCAACCAGGGTTGGTTCACCAGCACCTTGGAGCTGTACAGCTTGCAGCATAGCCTAAGCACAGAGCCTGCTGTGGTGCTCGGTCTGGCTCTGGCACTGGCCTTTGCCACACTGCTGCTGGGCTCCTGGAACGTTCCCCTCAGCCTGTTCTCTGTGGCAGCTGTGGCTGGCACTGTGCTGCTCACTGTGGGCTTGCTAGTTCTACTCGAGTGGCAACTCAACACTGCCGAGTCCCTTTTTCTCTCTGCCTCTGTGGGCCTCTCTGTAGACTTAACTGTCAACTACTGCATCTCCTATCACTTGAGCCCACACCCTGACCGCCTGAGCCGTGTGGCCTACTCCTTGCGTCAGACCAGCCGTGCCACCGCAATGGCGACTGGAGCGCTGTTTGCCTCTGGCGTGCTCATGCTGCCTTCCACCATACTGCTTTATCGAAAGCTGGGCATCATCGTCATGATGGTCAAGTTTGTTGGCTGTGGCTTTGCCAGCTTCTTCTTCCAGTCCCTGTGCTGTTTCTTTGGGCCAGAGAAAAACTGTGGGCAGATCCTGTGGCCCTGTGCCCCCCTGCCGTGGGATGCCGGGACTGAGGATCCTGATGAAGAGAAAGGACGAATGGGGCCACACGGGTTCTCCGAGCACTATGAGTTGCAGCCCCTGGCACGGCGCCGGAGCCCCAGCTTTGATACCAGCACAGCCACCAGCAAGCTGTCCCACCGGCCTTCCATACTCTCTGAAGATCTGCAGCTGCATGACGGTAGCTGCTGCCACGCCCACGCCCACGCCCCCATCCTCGTCCCCGCCCCCGTCTCCCCGAGAGATCTGCTTCTGGACCACCAGACAGTCTTCAGCCAGTGCCCAGCCCTGCAGACTTCCTCTCCCTATAAGCAGGCCGGCCCCAACCCCCAACCCTGGATCAGGCAGGACTCCCAGGGACAGAAAGCGGAGCCCTTGCAGGCCCTGCCAGAAGCCCCTGCCCACTGCCCCAAGTCCAAAGTCGAAGAGCTCCCGGATGGCCTCTGCTCTTCAGCCAGCACTCTGGAGGGACTCAGCGTTTCTGATGACACCTGTGCCTCTGAGCCCAGTATCCGTGTGCCAGATTCTGTGGGCACCTCACCAGAAGCTGTGAATGGCACTGGGCACCCCATACTTGAACGAGGCCAGCTGAATGGGAAGCGTGACACTCTATGGCTGGCTCTGAAGGAGACCATCTACGATCCAAACCTGCCCAACTCTCATCACACCAGCTTATCCTGGAAGGGCCGTGGGGGGCCAGGTGATATCAGTCCTGTGATGCTTCCCAACAGTCAGCCAGATCTTCCTGATGTTTGGCTCCGTAGGCCCAGCACCTACACCTCTGGCTACAGCAGCTGAGAGAGCCCAAGGAAGACCAGACCAGGGTCCAGAACCCTGTTGGTAAAAGAAAATAAGGCAGCAGCCACACTCGCCTAGAGCCTGAAGGTATTTCTCCATATCGACTTGATATCTTACTCTCCAGTTATGGAGTCGAAACCCTGCCAGATGTTCCAGCCTTGATCTCTCTGCTACTTAACCCCTACATCTGGAGGATTCAGTGGCAGGGCCTTGCAAGGTAATACCAGGCTCTCCCTGTGATGAGCTGAGGGCTCATCTCCCCCACAGTGCCAACAAGGACCCCCCTCCTCTGGAAAGGGGGGAGGCCAGATATGCAGCCTCCAGGTATCAGGGGAGGCTGATCATTTCTCTCCCACGTGGCAAGTTCAGTGATGCTAAGGTACCCCATCTTTGGGATCGTCAGGGTACCTTGCTGACTAGAAAAGCCCTTAAGAACCTCCACAGCCTGCTGAATCTCATCCCTTTCTCAACAGCTCTTAATCAGGAGGCTTCACTTCTAGGAGAGCTTTCTTGGGCCAGAATTGAACCCGGGGCCTCTGTCCTGCACTGCCCTGTTCTACTCATACTCACCGGTGTGAGTAGACACTCCCCAGAAGCAGGGCAGAGACGGCTGCTGAGGGAGAAGCAGGAGAAGATGTGAAGGTTGGCTTTGGAGTGCCTGTAATCCCCCAGATTCCCTTACCAGAAGTGGGCGCCAGAATGCTCCCCTACTGAGAACATCTTCTACCATCACCACACCTGTCAGCCTCCTTGGACTCTTGGAACTCCACTGCAGAAAGGCCTGCAGTTGGTCAAGACACTACGTAGGGTTGATTGATTTACCCAAAGTCATGTCACTGACTCATTCTGCCACAGTAGCTCCCAGTCTCCTCCTAACGACTGCCTGCTTCAGAGACTTTGGACCCTGGCTGTCTTGATCCTTTGCTTCTGGCACTTACCCATTCTCCTTTCTTGAGTATCTCTCTGTAAACCTTCCTTCCCTTTCCACCTGCAGAAAGAGTTGCAGTCTGAGCAGACCCCAGAGTCCCTCCTTGCCTTTGTGATCCCCCCTCTGAAATCCTCTGAGATGACAATTCACAATGGGGCATAGCAGATCGCAAGCAGCCAATCTCCGTCTTAGGCTTCAAGGACATGCCTCTTCCATGGCTAAGGACTGCAAAGAGACTTTGCCAGGTACTGAGGGACAGAAGAATTTGAGCAGAATCTATTTAAGACACTACACAGCCTTGCTCTTGTGGGGGAGTTCTCTAGGTCAGGTCCCTGGTTTCTAAAGACCAGCTCTCTCTAGAGTGCTAGGGGGACTCAAAGACCAAAGCCTGGCATTCCCCACCAAAAGCAAAGGTTCTGTCCTGAGGCTTTGTCCCATGTGACACAGCTGCTGACACTCGGCAGCATCTAGGCAGCATTGTCAAGTTGACTGCACACCTGCTTTGGGAATGGTATTGCCAGCAGTATAGGTGTGATGGGGGAAGCAGCTTCCATACACAGGCGGGCATTAATGGGTCAGTGCTATTGCTGAGCAGCGTGGGTACCCAGAGTGAGGTGACCAGGAAGATCTCCTGAAGAGGAGAGGCTTGAGCAGCTTCAGAAGATCAAGCACTTCAAACGGGAGGGGGCATGGTGATTCAGCGACAAACCCTGTCCCCTAAGGACCGTTCTTTCAAAGAACTCCTGTGTCTAAAAGTAGCTGCTTCAGTGGGTCTGAGCACTGGGGACAGCCAGCTTAGCTCCCTTTCTAGTGCAGCTCTCCAGGGGCCCCAGGTTCCTGGCAGACCCATGAGACATAGAATGAAGACCACCAGTCTAGGCCATTTTACATATGAGGAAGAGAGAAATAAAAAGAATTGTTCAGAGCCAAATCATCTCTGGTGAAGCTAGAGGCAAGCCAGAGGGTGTCTTTGTTTTATTTTGTTGCATTCCTGTGTTATTGAGATCTACCTCCCACCCCAAGTAGCCCAGGACAAGTGAAGCAGAAACTCAAATGAGAGCATAAGAATGTGGAAAAGACAGAAGACAGTTGTCCCTCAGTATCCATGGCAAACTGGTTCCAGCACCCCTGCCCCCCTCCCAGGGTATCAAAATCTGAGGATGCTCAAGTCCCTTGTGTAGAATGGTATAGTATCTGCATACAATGATGCATATTCTCCTGTATACTTTAAATCATCTCTAGAGTACTTATAATGCCTAATATGATGTAAATGCTATGTCACTCCTTATACTGTGTTGTGGTAACAATGACGAGAAAAAAAATGTGTGTGTTGAGCTTGTGTTTCTTTCCTTTTCTTTCTTAATGTGTTCAGGTTTGGTGCGGTCCTCCCCCACCCCCAAATATTCTGGGTCTGTGTGGTTGAATCTGTAGATACAGAACTCATGGCTACAGAGAGCTGACCGTGAAGGCCAGCTCCTTGCAAGATAACTAAATTGAGATAAGTAACTCTTGATCATGCTGGTACCAGGCATATTCTGCAGTCTCAGCTACCCGGGAGGCTAAAGCAGGAGATCACTTGAGCCCTGAAGACCAAGGTTAGCTTGGGCAACAAACATAACAAGACCAGCTAAAACAGAAAGGAAGAAGGGAAGAAAAAGAGAGAAAGAAAGAAAGAAAGAAAGAAAGAAAGAAAGAAAGAAAGAAAGAAAGAAAGAGAAGGAGGAAGAGAGAGAGAGAGAGAGAGAGAGAGGGAGGGAGAGAGAGAGAGAGGAGCTAACTAGCTGCTGATATTTGAAAGCATAAGCAGTCACTGGATTGCTTGTATGAACCAGTTTCCTTGAGTAGGGAGTAGAAGAACATCTCTCCAGTTATTCCCAAGCGGCATTCAGCCTTCCTAGCCTGTGACTATTCATCAGGAAACTGGCTTGTATGCACCGTGTACTGTGCACCTCTCTCTCTATCAGGCAGCCAGGCTGAGATGAAGGTTCCAGGGAAGGCAAGTCGACTTATGTTCTTGAGCATTTCTGCCTTGGGCTGGGGTACAGCTCAGCAGTATAGTGTATGTTTAGCGTACAGTAGTGCTGTAATCCGTCTCCTGCATCCCTCTCCACAAAATTTTACCTTAACTCAGAAGAGAGCACAGTATCTCCTCAGCAACTGGCCTTGGCTATTCTACTTTGTGTTATGGGAGACCAACAGGTTCATGAACCCTGAAGAGTCTACTCCCTCCCCTGGGTATGGTTGTGCATGTCCATAATATCTGCACTTGAAAATGGAGGCAAGAAGATCAAGAGTTCAAGGTTATCCTCTTGGAGGGAGGTGTTGGTTGATTTTGTTTGTTTGTTGTTTTGTTTTGCTTTTTTTAAAGACTTACTTATTTTATTTTATGTGTATGAATGTTTTCCCTGTCTTGTATGCATGTGCTCCGTGCTCATGCCTGGTACCTGAAGCGGTCAGAAGATATCAGATCCCCTAGAACTAGAGTGACGGACGGTTGTGGGCTGCCATGTGTGTGCTGAGAGTGGAACCCAGGTCCTCAGCAAGAGCAACAAATGCTCTTAACCACTGAGCCGTCTCCCAGCCCCCGTTTTGTTTTTCTAAGACAGGCTTTCTCTGTGTAGCCCTGGCTATCCTGGAACTCACAGAGATTCCCGAGTGCTGGTATTAAAGGTACGTACCACCACGGCTGGCTTCAAGGTCATCCTCTTATAGCAGGTTTGAAGCCAGACTGTCTCAAGTCTCAAAAAAACCCTCCCCACAAAGAATCTGCAAGCCCCCCCATCCCTGGAATCTTAAGTGTGTGTGTGTGTGTGTGTGTGTGTGTGTGTGTGTGTGTGTGTGTGTACATTAGGGTTTTTTTGTTTGGGGGTTTTGTTTTGTTTTTGTTTTTTTGTTTTGGTTTGGTTTGGTTTGGTTTGGTTTTTTTGTTGTTGTTTTTTGGTTTGGTTTGGTTTTGTTGTTGTTGTTGTTTTTTTTGATTTTTCCAAGACAGGGTTTCTCTGAGTAGCTTTGGGCCTCAGGATGTAGCTCATCTGGCAAAGTGCCTGCAGGGGAAGTAGAAGCAGAGAGTATCAATGTCATCCTTGGTCCATCTGGGCTACATCTCCAAAACAAACAAACAAAATCACACAGTGGAGCAGACTGATGGAATTTTTGGATGCAGACTTGAATTCATCACCTGTACCCTCAGCCCTGCCTAGCTAGAAGTTCTATTCTAACTACTAGTTTTCATCATTTGAGATGACTGTTTTCCCACCTTCTTCCAACATCTGGTGCTCTCCACTCTACCTGCTCCTCCCACCCCTACTTCAGAGAACAGAAGAAACTCATTCTTCATAAGGAAAACTAAAGTCTTACAGGTTGCTACCTCATGCCTATAATCCCAGTTCCTGGGATTAGGGGCCGCAGCACACACCTGAGACACCAGAATCAAGAGTTCAAGGCCGGCCAGGACTACATAACTACCTGGTGAAAACTTGTGTCAAAACAGAGAGAGAGAGAGAGAGAGAGAGAGAGAGAGAGAGAGAGAGAGAGAGAGAGGGAGAGAGAAGGGCTAGAGAGATGGCTCAGTGGTTAAGAGCATAATTGTTCTTAGAAGTGGACCCAGGTTCTTAACATGTTGAACAGCTCACACAGCCTGTAATTCCAGCTCCGGGGAAATCTGGTGCCTCTGGCCTCTGAAAACACCTGAATACGGGGTGCACACCTACACATAGACACACATAAATACATATAATTAAAAATAATAAAAATAAATCTTTTTATGCTAGGCGTTGGTGGCGCATGCCTTTAATACCAGCACTTGGGAGGCAGAGGCAGGTGGATCTCTGTGAGTTCAAGGCCAGCCTGATCTACAGAGTGAGTTGCAGGACAACCTCCACAGCAATACAGAAAAACCCTGTCTCAAAAAAACTAAATAAATAAATAATTCTTTAAAAGGGGGAAAACAACCCCACCTCCCTACCCCCAGATAGGAGTTCATCCAGTCACTGACTTCCCAGATAGGAGGCTATCCAATCACTCACTCCTGCCTCTGCCGTGTCCTGGATCCCTCCCATCCTTTCTGTGATGATGAAGGAACCAATGATGGCACCAGCAATGTCTCCTTGCACTTTGCTTGACAGCCCTTCAAACAAGAGCTGATGCTACTCAATGATGTGAAGACTTTTGGGAGGGTGGGGGAACACCAAGTTTTCAGGAAATTAATTTTTAGGATTGTCTCCTGTCTTGGTCAGGGTTACTAGTGCTGTGATGAAACACCATGACCCAAATCAACTTGGGGAAGAAAGAGTTTATTTCACTCACAGTTCCAAACAACAGTTCACCATCAAAAGCAGTGAGGAGAGCAACTCATTCAGGGAAGGAACCTGGAAACAGGAGCTGATGCAGGGGCCAAGCAGGAGGGCTGATTACTGGCTTGCTCCTCATGGCTTGCCCAACCTGCTTTCTTGTAGAACTTCCCCTGTCACGATGACCCCAGTGACTCTGGATTTGTAGTTTAGCAACAAGAGAGCTGCAAATGAATGAGCTCCGTGAGCAAAAACAAAGAGCAGAAAAACTTGCCTGAGAACTCCCAAAGGGCAGCTCTGTGGCTGTTACCTGCCTCCTCCATTTCAGAATACAAGTGGTGGAACCCGGCGGTGGTGGCCAACCGCTTTAAGCAGAAACAGGCTGATCCCTGTGAGTTCAAGGCCATCCTGGTCTACAGCGTTCCAGAATACAGAGAAACCTTGTCTCAAAACAAACAAACAAGCTAATGCAAGGGATGAGCCTGGAAGTGGTGTTGCACACCTTTAATCACAGCACTGGGGAGGCAGAGGCAGGCTGATCTCTGTTGAGTTCGAGGCCAGCCTGGTCTAGAGACTCTTGCAGAGGATCAGTTCTCAACGCCCACACCAGGAAGCTGACAACTTCCTATAACTCCAGCTCCAGTGAGCTCCAGAAATATCAGATACCCCTGGCATCCAGGGGTACCTACAATCATGTGCACATACCCCTCACACAAACACACATAAGTGGGGCTAGAGAGTTGTTTTCTTGTTTGTTTTTTTAAGAAAATAACAACAACAAAACCACTTCAGTTTTGGATGAGTAAAATGGTTCAGCAGGTGCAGACTGCCACACAAGACTGACAACCTGAGTTCCAGACCCAGAACCCACTTAACTGGGGGAGGAGAAAACTGACTCCACAAAATTGTCCTCATGAGCACCATGAAGCAAGTGTGCCTGCACTGAGGGCAAAGTTCAGTTTTGCTGGGGATGGTAGAGAGCGGCTGTAGTCCCAACACTAGGGGGAGCTGGCAGGAGGAGTGACTCAGGTTCAGGACTAGCCTGGCCTATATAGTGAGACCTGTGTCACAAAGCATTTGACTTTGCCAGGTGTGGTGACTCACACCTTTAATCCCAGCACTTGGAAGACAGAGGCGGGTAGATCTCTTGAGTTTGAGGCCAGCCTGGTCTACAGAGCGAGTTCCAGGACAGGCTCCAAAGCTACACAGAGAAACCCTGTCTCGAAGAAGGAAAAAAAAAAAAAAGGTCAAAAGACTGGAGAGATGGCCTCTCACCTGGTTAAGTGTGTCGTACTGCTCTTGCAGAGGACCCAAGTTCTGGGAAACTGAGTACTGACAATAACCTGTAACTCCAGCCTCAGGGGAACTGATGTCTCCGGCCTCAGCAGGCATGTATACTCACACATTAAATACCCACACACAGTCACAACACATAATTAAAAATAATAAAAACATATATTTAGAAGGTTAATGGAGGGTATTATTAGCCCCATTTATCTGAATAGGACAATAAAATCTTATAGAAAATTAGTTTGATTTGGCTAATGGATTAGAACTGGGTCAGACATGGTAGTACACGCCTGTAATCCCAGACATGAGTATCACAAATTCAATACCAGGCTAGGCTATCTAGCAAGACTTTGTCTCAAAACAAGGGATGTAGGTTATCGATGGAGCGTCTGCCTAACGTGTATGTAAGGTCTAGGGGTCTATCCTCAGCACTGGGGATGGGGGAAGGTGGCTTGTAAAGAAGACATATGGTGATCACTTAATCTCAAAATAGAATAATCTCAATCTGCTCCATAGTTTAAGCAAGAACATATTTAAAGTGCTGATACGTCTAGCATGTGCAAGGCTCTGAGTTTGATCTCCAGTGCTATTAAAAAAAAAAAAACAAAAACAAAAACAAAAAAAAAACAATGGGTTTAGAGAGATGGCTCAGTGGTTAAGAGCACTTGCTGCTCTTCCAAGTTAGTTCCCAGCACAGGAGCTCATAGCCATCTATAATAACAGTTCCAGGGAATCCAATGCCT